TTCCTGCTCGACGAACTTGGCCTGCTGCGCCGGAGTCCAGCTCTCGTCTGTGTCCTGGATGTTCAGCACAATGTCCAAGATGCAGTGGGGCTGCAGGGACAAGGTGATGATGGTGGTTACGCCCACGTTGGTGGCCAATTCGGCGGCAATGAGCTTGGTGGTCATGCCGCCGGTGCCGACCTTGCTGCCGCCCGCCTCTTCCTCGGTGCTGACGGTGATGTCGTCGATCTTGTCCACCACCACGATGGGCTCGGCCTCGGGATTCAGACGCGGGTTGTCGCTGTACAAGCACTCCACGTCGGTCATCAAAAAGAGGTAGTCGGCGTGGATCATGCCTGCGGTGATGGCCGAGAGCGTGTCGTTGTCGCCAAACTTGATTTCCGCCACGCTCAACGTGTCGTTTTCGTTGACAATGGGGATCACGTCCATGGCCAAAAGCTCGTTCAAGGTGTTGGTGGCGTTTCGGTACTGGGCAAAGTCGATGATGTCGTTTCTGGTGAGCAAGATCTGGGCAATGGGCTGATTCAACTGTCTGAACAAGTCGTCGAAAAGGCCAATTAAGCGGCCCTGGCCCACGGACGCCAACGCCTGGAACGCCGCCAACTGCTTGGGTCTCTCCTGGGTGTTGACTCGCTTCATGCCAAAGGCAATGGCTCCACTCAGCACCACGACGATCCGGTGGCCTGCTCTTCTGAGTTTAACAACGGTTTCCACGATATTCGACAAATTGGCGATCCGGGGTTCACGGGTCACCTCGTCCACGAGGGACAGCGTGCCCAACTTGATCACAATGGTGTACTGTTTTGACATTGTGGAAGAAAGTGGAGTGAGTAGTTGGTGCGATAAATAGGGCTGTGAAGTTTAGTGCGACCACCTGGAGTTAGGGTATGATGTCAGGGTGCACGGCCAAGCTTTGGACGGATAGGGTTTAGGGTTTGGGCGAGAGGGAGGAGGAAGAGGTTGAGGAAGAGGAAGAAGAAGTGTAATCAAAAAATTGGCATCCTTCGATCTAGTGGATTTTTGCTCCTTATATACTTCTTCCTCGGGCAGACCCCAGGTGCATCTCACCACTGGAACAGGTGGTGGAAAATCGGACCCTTACAAAATCGGTCCTTTCGTCCGAAACAGCCCATACACCGGATTTTCCATATTTTCCACCGTAACACCTGTCTTTTTTAGTTCTGTCGGCGTGTGCTTGGCAGTAGCAACTGCCGAGAGGCCTAGCGGATGAGACGTCGAATTAGCGGTCTCGAAGCGCCGGCATATCTGCTGATTTTCCCAATCGGGCGAAGTGGGACTGCCGTGGATGATTCCGCTGGGACGTCATTGGTGAAGGCCTACTAAAAATTGTCTTTTTTGAAGAAAACGACGTTTCTGTGTTTTTTATGGTTTCTATTTTTTCTTTTAAATCGAGAGTACTGGACCCATTGGGTGCAAATGCGACAGTGTCGTATACTCCCACTGCCTGGCTTACTAATTCTGACTAATGGTTTCGTGAAGGCTCTACAATGAACCGTTGCACGGAATCTGCTCACGTCCGTCTGGCACCTCCAGCATTGTTGTCTAGAGCGTTGCATTGCATGGAGCGAAGGCAAGCAGAAGCAGGAGATAAGAAAGAAGAAACATGAATGGAGATGTGGAAAATGGTCAATGGTTTCGAAAGTATTCAGTTTCTAGATGTACAGATTTTTCGTGGAGGCCGGTGGAGGCGGTGCTTTGGAATGGCCATTGTGGAGAAGGGCCATTGTGTAAGCGGTTGTGGACCACCCACACGGAAGTGCAGTATGGGTGGGACTGCCGAGGGGGTGGTGCTTTGATTTTGATGGGATTGATTTTGACATGGGATTTGAAAGAAGTTTGTGGATTTGGTGGAATTGGGTTTTGGCGGTGGATTTGGTGGAATTGAGTTTGGGTGTGGAGGTTAGCATTGAGGGAGACTGTAGCATTGAGGTAGACTTAATGTAGACTTGATGTAGCGGTAGAACACACATTGAAGCTGGCTAATTGAGTATTATAGCTAATTGGCTCATGGACTTATAGCTTATAGCTTATGGAACCAATGCTGCTTGGTCGGGCCTTTTGCAGCCAGGAAACACAAAGCATGGTGGGCTCTGCAAGGCGGCCTGAATCGGGCCTTTTTGGGAAATACGAGTGGCGGGGTCGAAGGGAGCCAGGATGGTGTGCTTTTAGCGGTGATGCTTGCGGAAAGGTGGGAAGCTGCGTTTACGGTTTGGTTGGTGGATTGGGCGGTAGGTGGGTGAGTGGTTCATGGAGTTGTATTACGGGAAAGTGGGTACCCCCAGAAAGGAGATCCATTATTGACATCAACGAGGAGTTCTCTTTTGGGGGTCAATGTATTCATAATATTTTGTTGATAAGTTCTTTGATTTGAGTGTATCAGTTAGTCTAAGCGAAAGGTAGTACCGCCCCATTGACAGTATATGTGCAATGTGGTGGCGATAATTTGAGTGAACAGTCAAAAGAACTTTTAAAATCATTGAAAAGAGTCCCTTTGTATATCCCTTCATGGTGTTGTTCGGTCTGCTTATGTGAGTGCCATTCGCTTAAGATGATGTTTCAAGGATCTAAGCAGCATCTACAAGTAATCGTCCATCTCCCTAGACAGATGAAATAGCTATTAGAAAAGCAGGAGCAGAAGATCCACCAAAAAAAATAAACAAAGATGAACTTCCTACCCAAAATCACTTTATGTCAGCCTCTGTTCTGTTCATCAAGTAGTTCAGAGTCTAGAGTGTGAAGCACCAGTACGTATGAAGCACCAGCACTGATGTACCGAGAAATAAGGCATGCAAAGGATAAAAAGAGTCAATTCAATGATTTTGTCACAATTGACGAATCTTCGTTTTTTTTGACCAGCTTTTGGTGAGACATCTGAGCACTTAGGCTAGCTCACTTCACCACCAGACCAACAACTGTCATCCATTTTGCTGCAAAAGCCCGTGCACACTCTCAAAAAGGTTCTCTCTACATTTTCAGGCAATCTTTAAAATCCTCACATAGTCTTTCGAAGAACCGACCCACCTGGCAGTGAGCTCTTATCTCAGTACGTAACTGTCCACTGTGAGACCACCACCACCACCACTCACTTCCAGGCCCACACCACCAGAAATCCCCTCAATTTCACAAAATGACAACTAACTCCAACCAATTCCCCTAAATCCCAAAATCACCGCCCATTTTTTTTTTTTTTTTGTTTGATTCATCTGCCCATGTCCCCAAAATCACAAACCACCCAAATCCACCCATTTTGCACCCATTCCACCCCACCCGCATCAACACTGATAAACCTGCAGCGCTCACTCCATGATCCGAACCTTCTCCATCCTGACCCGCCTTTCGGCAATTCCGAAAAAAACCCAACTACCGCCTCGGCCCTTGTGGCTCATAAAAGAAGAAGAAATCAATGAGGAATTCATAAAAGGCGGCCGTGGCCCAGGAGGCCAGAAGATCAACAAAACCAACTCCAAGGTGCAACTCACCCATATTCCCACAGGCAAGGTCGTGACGTGCCAGTACTCCCGGTCACAGGAGAAGAACCGAAAAAGAGCCCGGGAGATACTAGCGCTCTGGCTCGAGGAGCAGCAGGATCCGGAAAATTGCAGAACGGCTGTTTTGGCGAAACGTGAGCGGATGGTGAAGCAGAACAGGACGAAAAAGGCCAGACGAAAGCACAAGAAGCTGGAGGAGGATGAAGAGGAAGTAGTGGAGGAGGTTGTGGAGGAATTTGATCCGGAGGCAGAGCTCGACAGGTTGCTAGAACAGGCGAGGAGTCTGGGCTGGAAGGAGAAGAGCATTCGTTGAGGTGAAGGGCTGGGGTGATTGGGCGTTAAATCGTCCAATTATATGATTGGTATTCTCGGATTGGGGGATCTGGTTTCCTTGTGGTGTTGGTTGGGATTGGCGAAAGATTGTGGATCTCAAAGGGCATGCGAAGGTGGTGACATACTCACATCAGTGTGTTTGGCTGATATTTTCAGAGCTACTTATGGCAGTGAAGATACGGTAGTGGAGATACTCTGGGGAAAAGAAGCAGATCTTTCGCCGGCAGGATCATCAAACTATCACCGCTGAGGTTGATTCATGACCTAAGTAGCCCTAAAGGATAGTCGAAGAGATAAGCAGTTCGTGATACTATCCAAGGATCTTTCTCATACTATGATGCACCGCTGACCCAGAAAGCTTGAAAATTGCAATTTGCAGGTGGGCCACCTTTAATTGTCCTTTTGTTCACCAGATCATCCTTGCAACTGCAATCAAGGACAAATCAAAGTGTCCGACAATCCATATCTCGCTGAAAAAAGCATCATGGATTCGAAGGATATCCCGGAAATTATTGAGAGCATCATAGATACAAAGGATACTACGGAAAGAGGAGCCAGAAATGAATATCATTAAACCGATCTAGATAAACCAATTGCTTTGCTATATCATCCATAGCTGTGTTGTGCTGGCGACGGCTAATGTATTCATATATGGCAATCAACTTCTTGGAACCCTGGCTCCGATTCCAATCCAGAGGTTGTGGAAAAGACAACGATGGATGGATTCAAGTCATGAAGGCATTCGTTGCCAATTTTGAACACGCCAAAGAAGGTTCTTCAGGTGAAATACCATCCATTATCCCCCTAGTTATTTCATTTGACTCGATGCTTGCCTGGAAGGAAGGAAGATAGTTCAGGTGGATAGACTAGCCTAGTGCTTGACAATCCATCAGCACCGCCTTCAAGCAATATCACCTGATTCGTTGTTCGACCGCCCATGATTTGCTTCAACTTTGCTAATTCTAAAGTAATTTTGTAAAACTCGTGATTTCACATTCCCAATAATCCATCGATTTACGAGGTGCTAATTTCATAGATTACCGGTGCTCAAAACCGTGCAGATGTAGGTGATCTTCAACTTTTTGCACACATTCCAATCCACCAACACCTCTTAAATCACAGTCAATTGACCATAGGAAAGGCTCTGGAAAGCATACCATGTCATCCTTCAAAAAGACAAATGACGAGGACAACTCGATCGAGATGAGGTCCTTTCTTTCAAGCACCAACAAGCCAACCGAAACCCCACATTTCAAGCCAAAATTCAGCTTTTCCAAAGTATTGATCACATTTGTAATGATCAGTTGGTACCTGCTGAATCTTTTCATTTTCAGCAACTTCCTCCTCGGAACACTGGCCCCATTTCCGCTTCAGAAGATCTCAAATAGTGATCCCCATGGATGGATTAATGTCATGCAAAACACAATCAATGCTTTGGAAAGTGCTAAGAAAGGATCCACAGGTGATGCTGCCAACATGCTACCCCTGCAATGGCCCCACGGAAGAACTACGTATTACTACTACTTTTCCAGCTTGTGCCGTGAGACAGAAGAAAGCGAGATAATTTGCAACCAAAAAGACCTTCCTTTTGTTGCTTTCTTGAACGATTTGGGCTCTTTGGTGGCACAGGCCCTGGATGTGGATGATGTGGAGGAGTTTGTGGAAACCTGGACTGAAGGGTTTAAGAACCTGCTTGTAGAAGCTTTGACCGAAGTAGAGAGGGAGAAACTTCACGAACAGATACTTGGAGAGAAAGGCGAACAGCTTGACTCGCTGAGCGTGGATGTTCTCAAAGGGTTGAAGTTTCACTTGGGTGTGGAATTCCCGCCAGGTTGGAGTTTTCGATTATTCCTCTTCACCATTTCCTTCGCTTTTGATGCCTGGATCGTGATAGCAGCAGCACAGGGATGGAGACTCGGCGACAAAACACTCTACCTCGACATTCCAGTATTTGGAAGTTGCATCCTCCACTTTGTCAGGGTGTTATCGTGGTTCTTGACGACATTCGTGCTATTTCCTGCGCTAATGTGGGAGGGCTCGTTATACGAGGGACTTGAAAATAGCAGCTTTCTCCATGCTCTGGTTTCGATGGTTGATGCGTTCCAGATCTTCTATCCTTTGGTGTGGTACTTCTTCTTGCTGGCTGTAACCAGGGATCAGTGACTGATGTCTTCAGGTCTGTATCTCGATCTGTTGCATTTTTAACACCGCCGTATCATAAAAATTGGACCTAAAAGAGAAAATCCCCTGACCAATTTACACCCTGACGGTGGTATTTCAGCATCGAGCCGCACTCCATTCCATGAGACATGGCGTCGTGGTTTCACCTGCCAGGACACCCCAAAACAGAAACACCGTCAATACTTCCTAGCCAAACGGATCAATTGAATCAGTAGAAATCAAAAACACAATCGCATACTCGGAAAGACTCGGTCCGACAACGGAAGCACAACCCGTCAATGGCACATATGAGCCTCAGACCAACCTCCATTATCCACCAGAAATTCTCCAAATGCTCCCCCTCCTACCCATCAGAACCTCGCTTAAAAAAGCCTAATCACAAATGTGGTCCCGCAAACGTCAAGATAAGCCATTCCCTCTCACTGCCATACCGGCACACCCCTCGGTGTACCCCACCAAAACTCCAAGAAAAAAAAACAAAAGTAACAAGACCCTCCCAATGCCAATTTAAGTAGCACTTCTCCCTCGTCTATTCTTCAAAGTGCCCAATGTCACAAGTCAACTTGGCCATTGTCGAAGCTCCCGTGCCACAGTCGTACCTATACTGCCTCGGTCGGCCGGCATAAATTACACCCCCAACTATTTGCACCCACCACAACAAAACAAACCCATGGCACTTAGATTCGACAAATTTCTACTTTTTGGCGACTCAATCACCGAATTCTCCCATTACCAGGGCGGGTTTTCGCTAGCTGCCAAGTTGGCCGACGATTACACCCGAAAATTGGACATTGTCAAGCGAGGTTTCTCGGGTTACAACACACGCTGGACACTCCCCATATTCAAGCAGGTTTTGGATGCGGAGCTGGAGGGACCGGGCAAAATCCGCCTAGCCTACATTTTCCTCGGCACCAATGATGCTTCTTTCGGTTTCCAGGGTGTGCCGATCGAGGAGTACAAGCTGAACTTGGAGACCATGGTGAAGTTGGCGTTGGAGAAGGACATCAAGCTTGTGATTGTGGGTCCGGCTCTTCATGACCAGAAGCTTTTCATCGATGCCTGTGAGGAGAAAGGCAGACCGCTTGATGGGCCGTTTTCCAGCTCGAAAAACACCAGGGAGTATGCGGACGCAGCATGGGAGGTTGCCTTGGCCCACAAGTTGCCATTTCTCGACTTGTGGTATCTTTTCCAGAAAAACGGAGGCTGGTCTTCCGACGAGCTCTTGCAGGGCAGCCCTGATTTGAGCGAGTACTTGTTTGACGGAGTCCACTACTCGGCTCGGGCGTATGAGGTATTCTACGATGCTTTGATCAAGCTCATCAGAAAGGAGTACCCTGACTTGGCCCCTGAAAACGTGCCCAGACACCTTCCGCATTACAGGGACATTGACCTCGATAACTACGAGGAGTCGATTCTCAACGGGCCCAAAACTTTAGACAAGGATACATAGACAATGCAGGCCGTATGGATGAAATGGTGGGTAGAAGTGCTTGATGTGTTTTGGATTGGCGTGTAGATGGAGATTTCCTTCGGTTGTTGGTGTTGGAATTGGTGGAGTGAACTGGGTTCATTCATGGATCAGTTGAAGTATCGCCAATAAGGTCAATGCTAACTCAGTGGGTCCCAAACATACTCAAATTATTTATCATGAAGTCTGGAACCATCAAGCAACCATTATGAGCTTCAAAGACTTGTAGCCATTTGACGGTCTCATTTGCGGATCTGTTGAAACACGCTCAGAAGTGGCGAGTAAGTATTAAAACCAATTAAAACTCAAATAGTCTGAATAATACAGAACCGCAGTTCCTTTTGAGTCAAATTGTTAGTCTCTTGACGGTGTTAGACAGCTTAAAAATCAAAAAACGGCGGAAAAACGGCTTAAACGGCCGAATATGGCATTTTTAACACTATAAGTCGAAACTTAGTTGTACTATGTATCAGAAAAGTTTATACACAAATCTATAGGTGCGAAAAAAACCGTTTTATATATGCGACATAAATAACCTGCATCTTATCTGATAACAAGTCGGTCCCTTGGCCCAGTTGGTTAAGGCGTGGTGCTAATAACGCCAAGATCAGCAGTTCGATCCTGCTAGGGACCACTTCTTCCAGGGCGTGTGGCGTAGTTGGTAGCGCGTTCGCTTAGCATGCGAAAGGTCTCCGGTTCGAATCCGGACTCGTCCATTTTTTTGATGAATCTTCCTTTTTTTTGCCCTAGTCGACGATAGAGGGCCTTCTCCTACTAATTCGTTCTGGAAACAGGCCCCATAATCGGCTCTTTCCGTGAGGTGCGACATTTTGCAACCATAAACCTCATACTCAAATACCATTCTCCCTGGACGACATTTCTGCAACCATTTTTGCAACTTCCAAAACTACAAAACTACATCAACAAACTCGTGTTTGACCCGCATACCATTAAATACAAACCGTTAAATTAGAGAACCACCTCACCGGCCAACTTCTTCTTGTAGTCCAAGATAGAGCCCTCCCATCTGGTGGCAGTCTTGTTCTCAATGACGAAAATGTCCTTGGCAACCTTGTCCAACAATCTGAAATCGTGGGACACGACAACAACACCACCGTTGAAAGCGTTGATGGCGTCGGCCAAGGAGTCGATGGTGGACAAGTCCAAACCGTTAGTGGGCTCATCCAACAAAATCAAGTTGGGCGACTCAATGGCTAAAAGAGCAAACACAACTCTGGATCTCTGACCCTCAGACAAGGTAGCCATCTGAGAGGTCTGACCTTCACCAGTCAAACCGAAACGGCCCAACTGCTGTCTCCAGTACTGGAAGTCCTGGGAGATGTTAGAGAATCTGTCTCTCACAAACTCCAAAGGCGTCTTGGTCAAGTCCAACTGGTCCTGGGAGTGCTGAGAGTAGACACCCAACTTGATGTGTGTATGCTGAATGACTCTACCCTTCTGAGGGACCAACTTGCCCTGGAACAAGTTCAACAAGGTGGACTTACCCACACCGTTGGGACCCACAAGAGCCACACGGGAGTCCATATCGATACCAATGTCCAAGCCTTCGTACAAGTTGTCCTCGTCCTTGCCAGAGTACGAGAAGGACATGTTGTCGAACGCAAGCACTGGAGGAGGCAATTTCTCGACATCGGGGAAACGGAAGGTGAACACTTTGTCGGGAACCACAGGCTGGATCAAACCGTCGGCCTCCATCTTGTCCAAGATCTTCTGTCTGGACTTGGCCTGTCTGACCAAGTTAGCGTAGGTACCGGCGGAAGCGATAAACTTCTTGATGTGCTGGATTTCCTCCTGCTGCTTGTGGTACTGCTTCATCTGGTTGGTCTCCAACTCCTGTCTGGTCTTGACGTACGAGTCGTAGTTACCACCGTACTGGGTGAGCACCTTCAATCTCATGTCGATCATGTTGGTACACACACCGTTCAAGAAATCCTGGGAGTGGGAAACGAGAATCAACGTGGAGTCCCATCTCTTCAAGTACTCTTCCAACCACACACAGGCAGCCAAGTCCAAATGGGCAGTAGGGTCGTCAAGAAGCAAAAGCGTGGGCTTGACGAAAAGCGCCTTGGCAAGCGCCACACGCATCTTCCATCCACCAGACATGTCCTTGGTCTTCTTGTTGATGGTGATTGGGGTGAAACCCAAACCGGTCAAGATCACAGCAGCACGAGACTCGAAAGTGGAAGGGTCCATGGAGTCGATCTTCTCGTACAAACCTTCCAAAGCGGGGTTCTCGGGACCGTCCTTCACGATGATGTCCTCCACGAGGTCCTCCATACGCTTGAGCTCGGCCTCGGCCTCTCTCACCACATAGTTCAAAGCGGAGTGCTCCGAAGGCTCAGCAGGCTCGTTCAAAAGGTACACGTCGATGTGGCCAGGCACGGGGTACTCTCTGGCGGCAAGCGACTTCAAAAGCGTGGACTTACCGCATCCGTTTTCACCCAACAATCCGTATCTTCTGCCGTAGTTCAACTCCAACGTGGAGTCCTGGATAAGCACCTTACCGTGGAACAAAAGCGAAAGCGACGAGATCTTGATATCACGCGAGGTCTCCAAGGAGTCCAACACACCGGTGGTGACACGGTCAGACAAGCCGTGTTCGTCGGTTTGCATCTTCAACTTGGCAATCTGAGCAGCAGCGTCATCGACATCCTTCTCCTCAGCGTCCTTCTGAGCCTGCTTTTTCGTTTTTTTGGTAGTCTTTCCTGCGGCGGCCTTGGCGGCTTCTTTTTCGGCACGCTTGGCTTCTCTTTTGGCTTTCGAGGCGGAAACAGCAGACATGGTTTCTGGAAGAAAAAGGTTTCGAGAGTGAGGTCTTGGTTCGTTGCGAAAAAAAGTGTCGATGAGACGGTGGGGCAGTGTGTGCAGGCCGAAATCAATCGAACCCTAAAGAAACGGGGGGCGGCATGCCTTCAGGCATGCCGTTTTGAGCTCAATTAGAGGATAAAATTTATTTCCAAAAAGCCCAATAAGCGTAGGTGGCTGGGGTGGCGGGCTTTAGAGGTAGTGGGCTTGTGGTCACGTGACCAAAGAGATGCCCACTTTGTTAAAAGGGCCCCAGCGTCGGCCCAGCCATTATTTATGTTGTTTTCGAAGGCTTGGTGGGAATATATTGTAATTGACGCTTTAGACGGTACTTTTGGGCCGCTGGTGGCCTGCTATTGGGTCGAGTAGCATCACGTGGTCTAGGTGAAAAACTTTCAAAACCGTGCTTCAGCCGTGTGTTTACCGGCCTTTTCCTCTGAATGACCCCAAAACTTGATTCTAGAAGTCCAAAATGCTTCATTTGGCCACGGACGCCAGAAAATGAAGGTGTTCTTGGGTGGTGCACGGGTGTGACGTCGGCCCACTCATAGCGCAGGGTATTGTCATGCCGCAAACCACAAGGGTCCTTCTCTGTGGTGACTAAAATAGGGTTTTGCAAATTCAATTGAATGGATTGATATTATTGATCTTCGATTTTGATCATGGCATCTCGACACTCTTTTGATAATGAACTTGAAAAACCCTGGTAGTGAGTGCTTAGCATGGCTGCAAAATCGGTCCTTGGGCTCTTCTGACTGCTTCATTTGGATACTTTATTTTTTGACTTCTTTTGTGGATGTGAATTCAATATTCACTACTCCACTGTGCTTCAAATTGGATCTTCCTCGGAATCGTATATTCCTAAATCGGTAGGTGAAGTGCATGGAGACCAACACATAAGCTTTCACTTGGGCACTCTCTTTAACAAAGGTTTACCCGCTTGATTCAATACAAGCGAAAGTTGTCAATTCTCTCATAAGTGTTATTTTTGTTGGAACCCAGTGTCCGATGAAGCTGCGATGCCTATGCTCAGCGGCACTTTCCTACCAGTTGAGCTGAAATCCCTGAAACCTTCAACATTCCAGTGATTCCAGTGGTAACAATTTGTAGTAACCAGTAATTCTTGAAAGTATCTGCAATCGAAAGGTAAAATGAGTTCTTCGGTATATTCTTCTCGAATGGACCGTTCACTGCCATAGTCTTAGCTACCATATCTCATACAGTAGAAGCTCTTCGAATTCACAATTAAACGTCAACTTTCCTTCAACTTCAACATGGGATCCCTGCTTCGAGCATTCTTTAAACGCATCCTAAACTAGAAGATCGACCAATCCACTCTTCATTAGTCAAACTAGCCAAACGGCCTGGTCCATATCCTCTTTGTTAGGCACTACACCAAACTAGGACCCAAAACTGCAAAATCCTTAAGTCTCAAAACAAAAACGCCAATCCCAAAATCACCAAAATGAATGATAAAAAAAAATCCAGTCCCTATTCAAATTCCCCCACTGCCATGTCATCTACCCCCTCATCACTACCCAGTTCCTCGATTTCGCAGCCATTCATCTCCACTAACCATCCACCAATTCCACACAAAAGCCTCTTCTGAAAACAAAAAAACCGTCCAAGCCAATTAAATCTATCAAAAACCCCAAATCCATAAATTCCAAATCCCTTCATCCCTTCCCTCCCCAAAATCCACCCACCCCATCCTACTACCTGGGATCCTGTGCATGAGGGCATCGCGGTTCTTATTTTTTTCCAAACCTACCTTTCTACCCATGACTGCCTTCAGCACCGCCGACGCCAGCGGCCTGTTTGTGGCAAGTGTGATTGTGAAAAAGGCCCGCAACGAGGTCCAGATCCGTGTTTTCCCGGGCGAAAACGGCCAGGTCTCCGATGAGTTGGTCCAGAGATTCGACCTCGATGCCCTGGCAGAAATCACCAGTGTTTCGTGGTTCAACGACGTGGAGGCGGGGACCAAGAAGAAGCTGAAAAAGAGACAGGCGGAGTCGAACGGTCTGCTGGAAAAAGACGTTGCCTCGGGCCCCCAGGGCCTCTTGGCCGTGGTGCTCGATTCTTCAGAAGTCTTGGTGCTTTCTCCTTACTCAGAAACGCCGTTGCACAGAATCACAGAATTGAAAAAAGTACAGCTTGTGGCCGGTTCCAGAACCCCAGGCTCCTTCTGGGCCCACCTCCCCAGCGCCCTCATAGAATACAGCATCTCCTCGCAAAGCATATCCACCTCCATCAAGGTGCCCAAATCCACATACACTTGCATCCAGCACCTTGCTGGTTCCCGAGAGCTTGTTGCTCTTGGCGGCCTGGCTGTGAATTTCTACGATCCTGTCAAAAAGACGCTTTCTGGGAAGATCCAGACTGAGGGCACCGTCTCAGCACTTCAACAGGCTGGTCTGTACTTATACGTGGCCACAGAAGCCAGCAACAGCGTGGAAGTGTACGATTTGAGCAAAAATAACGAACACATCGGCACCCTTGAAAGCGCTGGAGAAATCGCCAAAATCAACAGAATCAGCGAAAACCAGGTTGCGGTGGTTTCCGCCAACGTCACCGAAATATACACCGGCGTGGAGCTCACCTCCACCGTGCACGGTGCTGTGGAAAACCTCTTTTCCCAAAAATCGGCCTACGTGGCCGTCTTGTACGATAGAAACCAGCCCGAGTTTGAGGCCATCACGGAACTCAACAAGGACATTCAAATCCAGGCCAAACAAAAGAAGAAGAAGACCAAAAAGGAAGCCTCGCCTGACGTCACTCTAGATAGCGTCCGCCCCGTTGAAATCGACAATCTCCCACCGCTGGAGCTCTACAGCAGTCTTTCTGCGCTCTTGACTGCTAAAAAAGTGCTGAAGACCAAGGTGGTGCGTCTTTGTTCCAGCAACGACGACGAGGAAAGCATAAAAGAGACATTCAGGCTTTTTTCGCAAAGCGACGACAGAGAGGTGCTTGTGAAGAATTTGTTCAGCATCGTCAGCACCAAAGTGGCATCGGACCCTCTGAGCAAAAGCCTGCTTTCCCTCTGGCTCAAGTGGATTTTGCTCACCCACGGCGGCTACATTCTGAAGCAGGACCTGCTACGGGACAATCTCAAGAAGCTCCAGCGCAGCTTCGAGGACGGCATGACGATGATGCTGAGGTTATTGGCGCTTCAGGGCCGTTTGCACTTGCTCAAATCGCATGCTGAATTCAGGACCCAGGTTGCTGAGGCGGAGGTTTCTGAAGACGGCAGTGACGACGAGTTTGACGCTGACGACGACGCCGCCGAGTCCAACGTGGAGGAGCTGATTGTGTATGCCAACGGAGAGAACGACGACTTTGACAGCGTTGATAATATCGAGGAGAGCTTTGCCGAGGGCTCCGAGGACGAGTTCGTCAGTTTTGACGAGGAATAGATAGACTAATGAAGACGCATGAAGATGGGGTGTAGGTTGTGACTGGGAGTTGGCGATAACGTTCAGCAAATTTGCAGCCACCTATAGGGGGTATAAGATGGGCGAGAAGAGTGGTCTATTTGGGCTCAAATGGATAAATGAGGTTTAAATTAGTAGAGGACTAGTTTGTGGCCATACTCGTATGTCTGGGGTATACTTTTCTAGTGCACTTGCATGGTTAAGAATGGATAACAAGGGCAATGTGAATAGCACGTTTGAAGTAGGTCGTCTTGAGACTTTGGCTGATAAGAACTGAAGTTTTTATTTCGAATTCAGTGGAGGAAAAGTATCCTAAAAGTTTTGATATCTGTCCTCCTTTAGTCTCATGCACCTCCAGTAGACGTCTATGATATCCTCAAGCGATGATAACCAAACAGCTACTCCACAATTCATTTTGACCTACTTCTCAAGAAATACAACCAATTGATAGCTCAACATCTCTGTACTAAGAAAAAAGATGTCAATGCCACATTCATCGAAATTCGTCGCTTTTTAATGCTCTTCACCGTAGTGAACCTATTATGTCTACTTCCACTACCATGCCACCAAACACCCACCCAATTACACCCTCAGACTAATTTTCAAAAAAGTAAACGAAAGAAAAAGCTCCAAAGAGATAAGGGACATTTTCTTCAGAACCACTTACCAAAAACATCATACATATTTCAGCAACCCACGCAACCCACTTATCAACCATATACCCTCATTCACCATTGGATATCCACACCATCCACCATTACATTCCCACACAATTCACCCAAACCCCTCTGCAAAAACAAACTTCCTTCAATCCACGAAAAATCAAAAGTACCACAAAACCACAGACTCGCTTTTTTTTCACCTCATCTCCATCCCCACATATCACCTCACCTCATCATCGCACACCAACTACATGTCGAAACTCTACATCTCCTACAACATCGTGCACAAACTCTGCCAGCAGGCAGCCCAGGAAATCAAGGCTCTGGGCCAGCTGGTGGACCTCATTGTGGCGATTGGAGGCGGCGGTTTCATCCCAGCCAGAATCCTCCGTTCCTTCTTGAAAGAAGAAGGCAAGAAGAACATCCCCATCCAGGCCATCGGGCTCTCGTTGTACGAGCAGATGGGCGACGAGGAGAAGATCGGCAAGGAGGTGGTGAGAACACAGTGGTTGGATTTCGGCAGCTTGGGCCAGCACATGGATATGCTTATTGGCAAGAATGTGATTATCGTCGATGAGGTGGATGATACGAGAACCACGTTGCACTATGCGGTGACCGAGTTGGAGAGGGACGTGAGGGAGATTGAGGAGAAGACGGGGAAGCAGGGCACGACGAAGTTTTCTGTGTTTGTGCTTCACAACAAGCGCAAGGCGAAGAGAGCAGAGCTTCCGGAGGAGTTCAAGGAGAAGGGCAGGTACATTGCGGGCACGGATGTGGACGACGTGTGGATCGCTTATCCGTGGGACGCCATTGACATTGACGAGCACACGGAGGCTGCCAAGGAGCAGGGGAACTACTAGAGTGGTGGATGAGGTGGGGGTGATAGTTTGAGCTGTTATATGCTGTTAGATGGGGGTGTTAGTTAGAGGTTTCAGCTGATTGGCGGTCAACAGGGGTAGGGTTGCCAGGATGAGCTCTTGAGGGGCGTTCTGCTGGAAACTGTCTGTTTGTTAAGCGTGGTTGGAATTGTCAGGGTGTGTTGGACCATTTGATTGGATCTGGCATCAGCTGGGGTTCAGCCTCGACCAAAGGTGCTTCAGGGGCAGATTAAAGAAACCGACTGCGTGAACTCGAGATCACTGGCTGCTCTCTTGTCGTCTGGTCCTAAGTGGCCCTATACTGAGGCTGAGATGTCCGTACCTTGAGGATGAGATGTCCAGTGACAAGGAATCTAGAGCTTGTGGGGTAACGAAGGCAAGTACTTTCTGGAATCAAGGCATGTTATCACCAAGATCATCAAATTCAGCGGCTTCTGCAAAAAAGCACCCTGTGGCCCTCGATTGTGCCATGCAACTACACCCAATTGAAGTACACCCAACCGGTAAGGCCTCCCCTGCCAGAAACAAGCCCCCGACTCCAAAACCACAATTTAGACATTGCAATCGATTTTTAATCAAAACGAAAATAACACACCAAAGGTTTGTAGCCATTTTCAAAATCCATCATCTGACTACTCCCTTCCTCGGTTCGGACTTCTCGGATCATTTGCAGCCATTCTGCCAATCGCCGAGGACCCCATAAACTTTGCACCTCTAAAAAATCAGAATCCCCGGGGAAAGAGATAAAAATTCGGTAGAAGTAAAAATCTAAAAGCCAGAACACAACCTATACGTTTACAGTCATGGACCATGCACATACCGCTGGTACTACCCCAAATGCACATTCCACACCATCCCTGTGCCTTACTAGGTCATATTCAATTCCACAAAAGCCGATAAAGCCCTTCCCCAATATCTCTAAGTAAATCGTAAAGTTGACCCTCAAAACATAATCCAAATAACCCTACCCATAAACCTGAGGTCCATCGCACTGGGGTCCATCCCATCTGATTTCGCAGCCATCCACCAACCAGTCAACCACCCACACATCCACCACCAAACCACAAATTCCCAAAAACCAACTACTTCTTCTTTTTCTCCTTCAACCTCAAAAAGCAAAACCACCACCACCACCCTCCTCCCCCTGGCCTCCCTTCATCCGTGGTCCTGCCATGTGCTGACCTGCGCACAGGACTACACCATCAAGCTTTTTTCCAACCGGCTTCCCTTTCTTCCCAGATCAACACCCCCACAATGGACCCGCAACAGCTCGAGGCGCTTTTTGCCGACACTTTGCAGGCGTCGCTGGCGGTGCGCCAAAAGGCTGAGGAAAACTTGAAGTACATCCTGAAAAACCCCGGTTTTCTCGGTGCCTGTCTTGATGTGATCGGATCCGCCTCCAACGCCGGTTTACGCCAGGCTGCGGCGGTTTACTTCAAGAACCAGGTGGTTCGCTACTGGAACCACCCAACAAGCCGGATCGACGACGGCGAAAAACCCGTCATCAAGGACAGAATCATCCCCACCATGCACAAGATCGACCACCAGCTGAGGCAGCAATTGGTGCCTGTTTTGCGTGTTTTGGTGAGTTTTGAGTTTCCGGCGGCCTGGCCCGAGCTTCTTCCCCAGACCGCCGAGGCCTTGCAGCGGCACGACTCGCCCGTGTCGCTTTACGTGGGAGTCTTGTGTTTTTCAGAAATCACAAGATACTACCGCTGGATCTCCAACAAGGAGCGGGAGCAGGACTTGGACCCAATGATCGTGCAGGCGTTCCCACACTTGCTTGACGTGGGCAACGCTCTTTTGGCGCTGGAACTCACGGAAGAGTATGCCGAAATCTTGAAGCTCATTCTCAAGACATACAAGTTCGTCACCTACTACGATCTCCCCAAGGTGCTCCAGACCCAGGAGACGCTTGCGTCGTGGGGCCAGTTCCACTGTGACGTGATCAAAATGGCCACTCCCGAGTACGTGAAAAACGCCAATCTGGAAAGAGAACGCAACCAGTTGGAGGTGTCCAAGTGCTACAAATGGTCCATTGCCAACATGGAGCGTCTCTTCCGCCGCTACGGCCTGCGTGACTTGCTGTCGAAAATGAAGTACGACGGCTTCCGGACGCTTTTTGTCTCGGAGTTTGTGCCCCACCTCATGTCTATCTATTTATCGCTCGTGGAGCAGTGGTGTTCCGGCGCCCGCTGGCTTCCTGGCACCGCCTTGTACCACTTGTTGGAGTTTTTGAGTCACAGCGTGACGCAGAAGGAATCCTGGAGCTTGGTCAAGCCCTACTTCGAGACCATAGTGTCTCACCTCATATACCCACTTTTGTGTCCTTCCGACGAGACCCTTGAATTGTTTGAGGAGGACCCCAACGACTACATCAACCTGAAGCTCGATGCTTTTGACGAGGTGGCGCCCGATATCGCCGCTTTGGGCTTGTTGGCGACTTTGGTCAGCAAACGCAGAAAGCTGACTTTGGAGCCGGTGTTGCAGTTTGTCTACAGAGAGCTTTCTTCTTTGCAGGAGCAGCAGGAGACTGTGGAGGTGGCCAAGAAGAAGGAGGGTGCTTTGCGTCTCATAGGAGGCGTTTCTCATTACTTGACGACTCCAAAACTGCCTTATCATACTCAGATGGAGAGTTTCTTGAAGGGCTTGGTTTTGCCCAACATAACGTCGCAGCACGAGTTTCTCCAGGCCCGTACGCTTGATGTTTTTTCGAAATTTGCCGATCTCAATTTCACAGATGCTGAGATGTTGCTGGCGTTGTTCCATGGAATCCTCAAGCCTTTCAGTTCTGATGCAGGCGACGTCAACTTGGCTGTGATGTTGGAGAGTGCTCTTGCGATCCAGGCGTACATGTACATTCCAAAGTTCCGGGACGTGCTTTCCCAGTTGATTCTCCCTACCATGTCCAAATTGCTTGAGCTCACGAAGGAAATCGACAACGATGCGATTTCGATGGTGATGCAAGAGTGTGTTGAGAACTTCAGCGAACAGCTCCAGCCTTTTGGCGTGGAGTTGATGCAGAATTTAGTCAACCAGTTCATGCGGTTGGCTGTGGAGGTCAATGATGCTGCTAACGTCGATGTGGACGAATTTGACGGTGACTACATGGACTCTTCAGACAAGATAATGGCTGCTATTGGTCTTTTGAACACCATGATCACGGTGCTCTTGTCGTTTGAAAATTCGAAAGAAATCTGCATCCGTCTCGAGGAAACCTTCCTGCCTGTCATTGAGTACGTTCTTGCAAACAACTTGGACGACTTCCTTGCGGAGATTGGCGAGTTGATTGAAAACTCCATCTTCCTTTTGCGCTCTGTGAGCCCGGTCATGTGGAACCACTTTGGTCTTTTGGTCAAGTCGTTTGACGAAGGCATTGCTCTCATGTACACCGAGGAGTTGTTCCAGTGTTTGCGCAATTACATGGTTTTTGGTCCCCAGGACATTGCTGAAAACCCTGAGATTGCTGGTCATTTGCTCAACATCATCTCCATCATCATTCTGGGTGAAGAGGACATGAGCTACAACGACATTGTTCTTGCTCTTGATTTGGCCCAGACGTTTGTGCTTTCTTTGCAAGGTAACTCGATCGGCTACCTTCCCAAATTGTTTGAAACCGTCTTCCCAGTCATTGTCAAGGAGAAGCACGACCCTAAGCACATCAAGAACAATGCCATGACGGTAGGTAAGGTCGACTTCATAGTTTCGAGCTTGATCTACGACTCCTCGTCTACGCTTGCTGCTTTACAGCAGAGTCAGTATCTCAACATCTTCATGGAGCTCTGGTTTGCTCTCATTCCGATGTTGAAGAGAGTCTACGACATCAAGGCGTCCATCCTCGGCTTGATCTCCTTGTCAACCAATAATGAAGCCATTCAGAGCATTCCAAACCTAGCTCCACACATTGGCTCCAGTTTGGCTACTTTGTACAAAGCCTTGCCCGGTGCCATCAAGGCATTTGAAACAAAGAGAGTCAATTTCAGCGAACAACCCGAAGATTACCAGGAGTTGTACGATAGACATTACGGCAATGCCGAGGAGGAGTTCGAGGACTTGGACGATGAGGAGAATGTTCCAGGAGCCAACGACGCTTCCACTGACGAGTATCTTAATTTCTTGCAGCAGGAGAACAACAAGTTGACTCAATCTGGTTTTGCTGAAGAGGACGAGCCTGCTTACGAGGATCCTTTGGCTACCACGCCATTGGACTCTTTGAATCCGTTCGATTCCTTGAAGGAGTTTTACTCGTCTCTCCAATCCCAAAATCCTCAGTTGCATAGCATGATCTTCGATGGACTTTCTGATTCGAACAAGCAAGTCATCGTTGATGTTTTACAAACGGTCAAGTGATCTTTTGTGTATTATAATATATGGGCATGGCCAATGGAGGTTGTGCAGTGAATCAAATAAAGTAGCTCTTCCATAAGACGCCTTCCAAGTCTTGCATCTGTGATTCGGAAAATACCTTGCTATCGACATGCCATGTATCTTGTCGGGTTTTCTTGAATTTGCCCAACGCATCCTTTGCTGTTCTTCCAACGACTCCAACAACACCTGATGCCTTGTTGGATAAGAGTGTCAAAAGTTCTGGAATCCAAGGTGGTGGTGGAGACTGGAACGAGAATGCATGAACAAGGGCACCTAAGCCGAGAGTAGCTCCGTGCATGGAAATGGTTTCAGCGTTTGTGACGTTTTTGAATCCTGATTTCCGGTGCTGCTTTCTGACACGGTCCAAGTCGGCAACAAAACGCTTCTTGTAGTTTTCAACAATTTCATCAACAATTCCGGGTGGTGAAGTGTGAACCAAACCAGAGAAGGTCGACGACGCGGCCTCACGAATTTCAACATTCTTGTGGTACATCAAGGTCACCGTCAACTCAAAGATACGCTCTCTCTGAGATCTGGTCAAGAAGAATAGGTTCTTGAAGTAGATAGTTTCCGTGAATTCCCCAAGAATAAAGTACTGAACGTGATTCAAGCCGTCCTTGCTGTACCCTTCAAGCATTGTGACCACATCTTCTAAGCAATGGGGTTCAAAGGGAATTTGAGAAACCTTCTTGAATGCTGAAATGGGTTCAATGTTTCCCAATTGACACACATCCTTCATGGCCGTTAAGTGCAAAAGGAAGGGTGCAATGTACTTGCTGACAAAGTCTTGGTACTGGATGGCAATACTTGTGTTGAGGGCTTGAGTCAACCAGCTGAGCACTGTTGTTGCGGCACAAATGTAGTTGGAATTCAAAATTTCATGAGCTGGCAAGTCCTTGACTTCATTCCTCCACACCTCAATTTGGTCGAAGATCGATGGGAGCTTTTCGAAAAGAAGATGGTTCATGCTTCTTTTATACATCAATTCAGGCTCAGTATTGCAAGCAGCGACAAATGTTGCACTGTCCTTCATCGATTCACCGTAGAAGGAAAAGGACGTCACAGCAATCAAAGATCCAATCTGCTCTCTAACAGCTTGGTATTTGTTGTTGAGATTGCTGAAACACAACTCAAGAATATCGTCTGGATTAGGGAACGCCCAGGTCATGGAGACAACCACAGAACGAAGGTAGCTTAAACGAGTGGCCTTCGTCAAGGCGGAATCGGAATCATCGGTGAGCTTGAAGTCAACCAAGACCTTTGTGACTCTGGGGAATCGCTTGCAATCGATGTGGGATGGTACCCACCAGGAGAAAATGGTCCAGATATTCTTTGTTTCAGATGTCAAATCCTTCTCGAAAATGTTGGTCAAGAACGGAACCAAAAAGTCATCTCTCTTCTTTGCCATTTCGTGCGTAGTGCTCTTCGATGCAATAAGCATACCCGAGATCAACTCACAAATAACGATATGTGAGCCCTTGTCATCTGGAACGTAAACCTCTCTCACGATTTCCAAGAACTCCTCAAACAGGAAGTTTTGAATTGTTCCGGTAGCTATCAACATAACAATGCCAGCGGTTGCAAAAACGTCGGTACCTTGGAAGGCAGCATTGGCTTCATTATCAGTCACCCACAAGTTCACGATGTTACGGAACCATTTTGGTGTTACGCATGACGCAAAGCCAGAGAGAACCTGCTGATCCTGCTCATTCAAATTGAGGTCTATCAACGGCTCTGGCCTCACTGCAATCATGGAGTCATCCCAGAAGAGCCAACCACAGTTGGCTTTTTGGTCAATGAAGTAATCAGGGTTGCTTTCATTCCGAAGCTCCTTCTTCCAGGTTTCAGAATACGAAACACCATTCTTTGGCAGCGTATCGACGACCTTGTAGTCTCTCATGACATGAGTCAAGTCGTAGGCATTCTCCAAGCTGTAATCGAAAGAGCCTAGCAAAAAGAGCTTGTTGAGCAACTTGCTGATACCTTTCAAAGCCAAGCGCGAGACGAGTGGATGGTCGCTTGACGAAGCTTTGGTCAACAACTGAAAGACATCATTCCTCGTTGGTGAACCATACTCGACTTGGATCTCGATCAAACACAGCAAATTAAGAGAGCTTAATTTCCAGTGGCTATTTTGCTTCTCGTTGACGATGAGCCCATCCTCTATTTTGCTTAATTTGTCGGAGTAAACATCTCTCTTCTTGTCTTTCGCAAGTGTTACTGCCTTGATTTCCAAATCAATGAATTCGTCGGGAGGTCTGATACTGTCAACCAAGGCATCATCAATCAAGCAAACCCTGCTTGGTAAAGAAATGGCACCACATAGATTGTGGAACAACTTTTGTGCCAAATCGCTGACCTCCACACGATCCACTAGCATGGAACGGTGCAAAATGTCGATGTATTTACCAAGGTAGGTGAAGTCTCCTTGCATCTTGGATTTGATGCGCTTGAGCTCAAAGATACTCAATCCACTCTCGATCTTCTTGTGATTGTCCTCATCTAAAGCCTTAGATAAGATCTTGAAAGTCGTCTTGATGATCACATTGTAGGAGTTATTCACACGCTTCATCGCATCAAGCAAAGTTGCTTGTGCACGGTCTGCGATAGCCAGGTAAGTTGAACAAGAAGCTCTTGACAAATCCTCGATTAAGATGCGATCGAGGTCAGACATGTTTCTTGAAGTTGCGTGCAATGCCACACGCATCTGATGGTATGACTCGATTCTGCTTCCGAATGTTAATCTTGTGAATGGTTTCCTGATCCTGTTGAGCTCTTGAATGTCGCTCAAGTATCTGAAGGAAATTCTGGCGTGACTGTAATCCAAGTTTCTCTCACGACCAACGTCAGCAAACCATATATCAAGCACGTATAGTAAATGTTTAAAAATGCGAATATTGTCGTAAAGGTGGGTGGTCATGAATTTGAAGATGATGTGCAAACTCTTACCAACCAAATGCCTTGTTCTGTGGATTTCAAGGTACATTTCATTGGCTCTGCGCTGCTCGATATCATCTCCAAAGTAGTATCTACTAGTGTAGATTTTGCGTTCACGGAATGTGATTGCGGGGTTTAAAGTTGTGAGGTCGACTCCACCGAGCATTGGGGTTGCTCTTGCAGACTCGCTGATTGGCGACTTCGACTGACTTAAGGAGCTAGTCTCGGCTCCTGCGTCGGCAGGTCTTCTGAAGATCGGTTGCTTCTCATTAAGGCTTTCATTGGAGTCATTTTTCTGGGAGTCCACGAACTGAGACATGTCGATATCAAAAGTCTTTTCAAGCTCATCGGTGAAATCAATGATATCCTTGCCCTCGATATCATCCACAATCTTTTGTAAGTTTTCTTGTACGTTCTCAATCCGTGCCTCGTCCTTGGTGCTAAATTTGCAACCTTTAAGATCGCGAAGTTGCTTGAGAAGAAGAAGCCTGTGTTGTAAGGATTCGTACTTGTGTTCGTTCAAACGGGGTATGTCCTCCTCAAAAGAAGGATCAAAAAGATAAGACGAACCACTAACACCATAGCCCAAGTAAAGCAAATTTACTCTGAGTTCGTCAGATAACTCAAGAGCAATCTGCGAAGTGGAATCCTTCGTTTTAATGATTTCCTTGAGAACTCTCAGAATATTCTGAAGAGCTTTTGAAATGTGGGCCTTGAAGGTGTCCACAGCAAAGCGAACGCATTTCTCGTCAGGGATGAACCAGTCAAAAGTGAGGTTCTCTTTCGAAAACCTGTAATCGTCAAATTGGAATCCACCCCAACACTTGGCATCGACGCCGTGTTTCTCGGCATAAGATGGGTTGATGAGTCTGGTTTCATTGATTCTCATCTTTGTGACGGCTTGAAGCATTTGGTTTAGCATGTAAGTGCTGGCAAAAACCACTGATCCCTTCACATTATCCATCAAAAAGTAGGAGAGCTTATTGAGCTTTGAGCCAACAGCAACGACCATCTCACCCGCATTGCCGATACACTCGTTGAGAATAATCAAATTCCAAAAGAGCGCCTCGTCAAGTGGTTCGATATCAATACCAGTTCTTACTTTTCCGGCGCCATTCTCGGAAACCTCCTCCATAACTCGGTCAATTAAGATGGGTGCAACCTGCTTGAAGTATTTGGGGTCTCTCTTGATGACGCCACCGCAAATCTCACCAACCACATCTGCGATAGAGTGTATCGAGTTATCGTAAACGAAGCTAAACACCTGCTCACGGAAACTCTTAAAGATGTCGTCTGACATGGACTCTATCATGATGAAAAGGAATTTTGGAAGACAGTCACAGAGGTCTTTCTCTATGCCGTTACTCTTGGAGGGGTCTGGGATATTTCTTAGAAGCAAGAACACACGTTCGAGGAATGTCTTCATGAGCAATTTGAATGCTGTGGATGCTGACTTGACAGCTTCTTCCTCCAATTCGGGAGTGATGTCAAAGGGGAAGTCAGACTCTTTGTTGTATAGCTTAGACTGGAGGTGGTCCATCTGAGAAGAGGTGAATTGAATCGCCAAATTGGAATCTCCACAGCCATCGGTGAGATCATGAATGGGTACAAAACTAGCCATTGCCGCAAAAGCTTCAAGGGTATGCATGGTTTTCGTCAAGTCATTAGAGTCAATACCTGGTAATGCCAAAGTGAATAAACGAGTCAAGTGAACTCTGTATACTGGAGTGCTGGCAAAATACCTGACACATTCATCGAGACAACGGAGGGCAGTAACGACTCTGTGCGTCGAAATCACACCTTCTAGAGACTCATATAGGTCAATGAGAATTCCTGACAAAACCTGGTCAGGGTCCATTGATGCAAGGAGATTCATGCAAACAAGGTAATCGTCAACCGCGCTGGCTTTCTTCGATTGTATACCTGTTTTGACAATTGGCAAAAGATCTTTGACGAAACGTGAAACAACCTCTGTCGACAACTTGTGTTTTTCGTCCAATGTGTAGAGGGTGGCAGTGGGTTGTCTTTCGAGATTAAACCTCTTTTGGAACTGATAGATCAAGCTCAAGACGAACTTGGAAATCGGTCTCGACCACTCTCCGCTGTTGGAAGGATGCACGTAACTCTCAATTGCGTTCAAAAGGGTCTCGATATGGCCCATGATTCCATCCTCACCCAAACTATTTTCAGCATCAATAGAGAAGACAATTGCACTTGAGAAACCGTGGAAGAACCTCGTCTTGAGAGAGCCGTACTTCTCGTAATTAATGCTCAAGCTGTTTATGAGGGTATTGATCAAGTACAAGAATTGCAGCTCGTTGAAAACACCAAAACGGCTCTGGTTATTCGCAATGGAAGGGTTTTTAGCAAGCTTCGTGAGGTAGGACATGGCGATTGTTCCCAAGCGGGCTGTGAGATGAGAATCAACGCCATGGGAACGGCTGAGTTTGGACCACATCACGAACAAGGCAGGAACGTAGTGACGGATATCGTATTCGCTGGTAGGGTCATCTTGGAATGTCAATGGGAGCATGCACATGGTGGATAAAACCAAAGAGGCGTTGGGGATGGAGAATCGACTGCCCAAGTGCTGAAAGATCTCTGGCAAGGCCTCTGCAGGGTAAAAGCTGGAGGCACGTTCGGCAATCTTGAGCATGTAGTTCATGTCTTTCTTTTCGAATGGCTCAAAAGAGGCATCAACGCCGGGAAAGTGGTTCACGAGTTCGAGGAAAACTGGTTTCCATGGAAGCTCTAACCCGGCGCTCCGCAAAAGTTCAACATCTTTCGTGAGAAGCTCAAAGATCTTGATGTAGATTCGGAGGTTCAAATGCTGACCTCTGCAACAGCAGATGGCGTAGTACACACGAGCTAGCGCCATTCTGAGCAGCAAGGGCATGTCGTATTTCATCTTGAGCCAGACTAGAAGCTCGTGGGTCCAGATCTTGGTGGAAACCACTGCAGCCGATTTGGGCGACTTCTTGTGCTGGGAGGTTTCTCCGGAATCAAAATCGTCAACGCTTTCCTTGATGTCGTCATCGTCCTCTTCCATCTCGGAATCGTCCTCGTACTCGTCGTCGTCCTCTCCACCCACATCCAAGTCTTCTTGTGAGAAGAATGTATTCGTTTCTTCGTCTTCTGCCACACGGGTATTGTCATTGCCAATCTCGAAAAGGTTTGTTTCTAAAGCGAGATCAATGTCAGAAAGCCCTGCCACGTTTCTAAGCGAGGCCAAGTCTTTGGCGGTGATGGAGACAGAGCCCTGAATATCCAAGCTCTTTACTGCGATATATAGATGTGCAACTATATGACTGAGGAATTTGGCTCTATCACGAGGGTTTTCGGGCTTGTAAGGGAGCAATCCGGGCAAATTGAGGGATCTGGGTCTGGATCTGGAGTAGAAGCGGTGGTTTGGGTCCAATTGGTGCTGTTGAAGCTCGGCATCGTCCTCCGGGTAATCCAAGTTGTAGAAAGCTTCTCGGTCCGTCTCAATGGTGCCGTAGGAAGGTCTTCTGCGCTTTTGGATGTTCAATTCCGTGTTAGGCGTGAGAACGGCGGATTGACGATTCGGACTTTTGCCGGCGTCACCCGAGTGATTGGGGTGTTCCGCTCCCAACTGCCTAATTGGGACAGGCCTGGCTAAGCGCTCCTGTTTGTCTGAACCCAGCGACTCTCGTACCATGTGTGGATTGAGTAGCTTTTCTTGATGGTTCGGGCTTTAAAGGCAGTGGGGAAGATTGTCCATACAATTGCCCCTGGTGTACGGGTGCGGGTTGCTGCAACATCATGAAACTTCTCCAGAAAAACCTCGCCTGCGGCACGGGTGCAACCTTATTTCTTCTCCGCCATTCCAATCATTTGCTCCACTTGTTGGTGGCAAATGTTTTTAAGATCCTCTACATCGGCCCGGAGTTCCTCCACAAGCATGGACTTCTCGCCAATGACGTCAAGGAGCGTCGCCTCTCTCTCCTTCTTCTTTTCAATCTCTTTTTGCAACCGTTCGATTTCCTCTTCTAGCAGCGCCAATTTCGTGCTGAGGTCCTGTTGGGCAACGATTTCCTGCTGGGCTTCGTCCTTTTGAGAAGAAAGCATCTCGTTTTCCTCTTTGAGCGCCAAAAGCTCCATTTCGAGACGACGGATGTTGGCACTCATTTTGCTGAGAAGCTGGATATTCTTTCCTCCTTGAGCAGCAGGAACTCCCGATCTGTCAGCCAGGTTTCTCCAGTACACCAGGGCATCGTCCGGTACTGGGCCCTCCGTAGCCTCAAACAGATCAAGATCCGTGAGTGAAACAGCCAGCATGTTCGCTTCAAACAGATTGTTGAAAGATGGCTGGCTCAATTGCCCGAGTCCAGGCGTCAAACCAGGAGTATGTGGATCCTCATTCATGCTGATATGGAGCCCCAGATCACGGAGTTTTCTGGATTGCAGCTGTGCAAACGAATCCACGTTGGAACCGCCCATATTCAGTTCTCGAAGCTCCTGAACCGTCTCCTCGAGCTTTTCAATGTTCTGCTTCAACTTCTGCTCCTGGAGCTCCCAATTGTGCCTGTCGGTGTTGAAAATCGCCTGGAGCTCGTCCTTCTTCGCCTCCAACTCCTTGTAATCGTCCTCCTTCACCGACACCTGGAACTGAAGGTCCTTAAGTGTTTTTTCCAGCTCTTTCCGCTGCTCCACAGCCTGGGCCAATTCCTCCTTGGCCATGGTCACCTGCCCACCGAGTTTCCTGATTTCCCCCTGGGCCTTCACCTTGGCCTTTTTCAACGCATTCAGCAGCTCCAGAAGCGCATCGGCCTTGCTGAGAAGCTGCAGCTCGATCAACTTCCAGTTTTCCTGCGACGAGACGTACTGCTGATGGAGGTTTTTGTGAGCCTCAGACAATTTAGCGTACTCCGAGTACGCAATGTGTTTCGCTTCAGCTTCCGTGGGCGTGGCCTCCGTAACCAGTGTTTTCATGAAACCCTCGTTTTCCAGCCGGAGCGCCTCGACCTTGGCTTCAAGACGGGATATCTCCACACTGCTCTCTTCCTTCAACCGGCTCACCTCGTCCTTCAAGTACGAAATCGTGTCCTCCTTCAGCCTAACATCTAGCGACTGCTGCTGCTCGGCCATCTGGAGCTTTAGCCTGGCCTCGTCGAGCTCTTTTTGGGCATTACGTTTCTCCTGAAGCTCGGCCTCATATTGCCGCTGCTGCTCCTTGTACTTGGCCTCCCAGTTCTTCAGTTTTTCCGCCTCCAACGCCCCCGTGGCCTCCGCAAGCTTGCGCCCGTTCGTCTCCAAAAGCTCCAAAAGCTGGTCCACAGACTTGAGCTTGTGTGTTTTCATGATACTCTCCACCTCCTCAAGCCGGAGAAGCGCATCCTCGTTTTTCGACGCGTAGTCCTTGAGAGAGTGTTCTAGTTTGGCGTTCGTGGCCGCCATGGCCCTGATTTTCTCGTGGAGCTTGATCTCCTTGCCTGAAAGCGCCTGTCCTTCCTCCATCAATTGCTGGATTAGGGCGTCCTTTTCGGCCAATTTCTTGTCGGCGTCGCTTGTAGCCGTTTTCTTGCTTTCAGCGACAAGCCGGCGGTTCTGCTCCTGGAGCTCCTGGCTGTGGAGTTTCACTTTTTCAAGTTCTTTTCTGATTTCGGCCACTTCGTCCGTTTCGGCCGGCGGCAGTGGCTCAATTGGCGCTGGCTCGGCCGGTTTCGGGCTCAGGGGCACGGAGCCTTCCTCGGCGGCGGCTTTTTTCTTCTTTTTCGCCGCCATCGCTAGCCTTTCTTGAAGCGTTAGCCTCTTGGGCTTCTTGGGCTGGTCGTCCTGGGAAGCAGGGGCGGTGGGCTCTGGCGTGCTTTCCACAGAGGTGTCCTGCATGGTGGTGCTGGTGTCGGGAATGTCCACGGCCTCTGGCTCGACGGCCACGGCGTCGTTTTCTGCCATTTTGGGTGTTGTAGTAGTTGAGGAGTGTTGATCCGTGTACTGAAGCGGTGTGCACGTGAGGCAGCACGTGTGGTAGCACGTGCCGTCATGTGCCGTGTCACGCTTGTCACGTGCTACCACACGTGACGCGCATCACGTGACTTGGCCGACGGATGTCGCGTAGCGTGACAAATATTTGACTAACCGAGTCAGCCCCGACGGGCAAGCTTTCTACCGAGGCGTTTTCGTGGCGTTTCATTAAAAGCTAAACATAGGGAGCCGGGGCAGGCGCCCAGGTGCGTGCGGCGCGGGAGCCCGGCAAACTAAAAAGGTTAAAGGCAAAAAAAAGAAGCACGACGGGCTTCTTCACGTGACCTTCCACACGTGCACGGGCGCGCCCCCCGGCAGCGAGGCTGTCTACCACGTCTGCGGTGCTGCTAATACAGCATCAACAGCCCAACCGGCCTGCCGGTGTACGATACTGCCAGGTGACGCCCACCAACGGCGTTTTTGCAAGGATTTTTCAAATCTGCCAATTGGCCAATTTCGTAAATCACTTTTGGTAGCCAACCACCGACGGAAGCAGCGGGAGCTTCACGGGCCCGTCAAGGATATCCAGGATGCGAGGCAACGTCTTGCTTTCAGGCTCCTCCTTCTTTTCAGTGTTTTCCGAAACCGTCAGCGAACAAACCGGCGGCGTAGGAAGCAGTCCCTGGGGAACCTGGGGTGCCGGTTCCGGCGCCGGTTCCGGAACCAGAGCCAGCAGCAGAGGCGCCAGCGGCGGTGTCGGCGTCTTTTCCTTCTCGTCCAAATCCACATCCTTAAAGTCCGCCTTGGACTTGCGCAGGCCGTGCTTCTTTGTGACAATGTGTGTGTTGAGGTGGTTCAACAGGCCGTAGCGCTTGGTGCAGCCTGGATACGTGCACTTGTACTTGCGGACAATCTGGTAGTAGCGTCTGCGGAAACGGCGGTGTTTTTGTGGAGGGGGTGGGTTCGTGTGTGGATGCTGGGTAGGAGGATTTGTGTGTGGATGCTGGTGATGCTGGGAATGCTGGGTGGACTGGTTGTTCATCACAGGGTACACAGGATAAGGCACCGGCGCCAGCATCGGAACAACTGGAGCAGGAACCATGTAGCCCTGGGGCTGGGGCGCCTGGTAGTAGGCGAATTCCTGGGGCACGGGCACTTCGGGCATCAGGGCGCCTCGAGGCACCTGGTGTGGAAGAACATAGTGGTACTGGGGGTGCATGGGCTGGAGGGTGTGGGGGCCCGGTAGGCGGTCGTGGGGCTGGTTGGGCTGGTGGTGGAGCGAGGGTAGGGGTAGCACGGGCGGCAGGGAGGGTTTGTTGAGGATCAGGGGTATCAGGGCCTTTGGGCTGGGCGAGTGGGTCATGATGGAGGTCATGGCAGCGAAGCTGAGGCGTAAGCCGAAGCTGAGCTGGCACTAGTTAATCGAAGCTTTGGCGTAGCCGAAGCTGAGCTGAGTCGACCTAGTAGTAGTTGGTCGAAGCTTAGGCGAAGCCGAAGCTGAGCTGAGTCGACCTGGTAGTACTCTTTGAAGCTTAGCGAAGTGCCAAGCTACTCAATAATCTGTCTCGACTGGTAGTGCTAGTTCGAAGTAGGAAAACGACGAACTGGAGGTAATCGACTTCAATTGGCTTAAGAGTCGTTGACCTCGGTAACTGTGACTGACCGTTGATGCTGTGTTGACCGTTGAGAGTCTGACCGTTGATAATCTGACCTGATACTAAGCCGTTGATACTAAGCTGTTGATACTTTGTACCGTTTCTGACCTTTGGGCTAGCACTTGTAGCGAGTGTTTTTTGATAATCCGCCAACGACTTTTTGAGTGTTCCTGGAATAACGTATCCAAACGACTCCTTGTGAAACACCAGCGGCGTTTGTGACGACGGCTTCTAGAATATGCGATGGGGATTCCGTCAGTCTTCCGTGCTGTCAGCAAGCTGATTCCTTGGAAAAACGGAATTCAACAATGTCCCGTCTGCTGATGGAATAACGTCACCAAAAAATGACTAAAACCTCAGCAGTCTAAATACCCTAGGGATTCTTCCTAGGCAATGCTGTTAGTGTCGCTTCTAGACTCTCTAGACGACGGCTTGTTTTGAAGTGGAATTGTCTAGACGTGTAGCAGGACTAGACAAGCAGGGATCGTGATAACCTGTGGGATGGAGGAATGCCTCTTGGACTTAAGTACCTTTCTTGAAGGAATGGATGACACCGTTGAGCTGGACTTGCCGGAATTGGGCTTTCCTTGATGGAGCAAAGACACGAGGTGTACGAAAGGCAGAGAGCCGTGAGATGGGGTGGTTATTAGCGGTGGAGGGCTTGGAGCCGAGGAATGGGATGAACCAAACAAGGTAGGTTTAAAAAAAAAAGGATATGGGGTGGATTGACGGGTTCAGGTGGAAGTGGAGGGTGGGCACAGGGTCCTTATATATTGGGATGTAGGAGGGAGGAGGCGTTTAGGCGGGAAGCGATATTCTAGAAAAGAATGTTAATACCGCAATCTGCAACAATAGCTATAATTAATATAATTTTTCTCTGCCACGATGATTATCACATAGTGTGGGAAAATCATGCGTGGAAGACAATAGCCGGTGCGTGAGCAGGGCATTGCGGCTGCAGTTTTTATTCTTTACCCGCGTTTGCGTAGTAAACGTACCGCATATGCACGGTCTCCGAGTGTGTGTGCAGTGCGTAGAGCGACCCAGGGCTGCGTCTGCAGCCCCCCGTCGCTGTGACTGCGAATGGGAGCTGCGCGGGCTCCTAACGCAGGCGGCATGCGAAAGAAGCATGCACGGCCAGCAGGGCCCGCAGGCTTAGGCACAGTACTAAGCCTTCCGCCTGCGTAATGTTCGGCGCTGCGTGCAGTACCGCTAGCCACCGGGCTAGCACCCGGTAGATCACGATAAGTCGAGATAGGGCACAAATGGGTCTGATCGGCGAGGGGTAAAAAGAAAGAAAAAAGCAGCACAACGATTCATGCACACGCCCAATACGGATCGACCCGCCTAGGGCCGTTTTGGCAAGTTGTGCATTTTTCCTTTCCTTCCTCTCTTCATGCCCCACGCAAAAAGGGCTATTTTAAAACCGAAAATGCACCTCTCTGCACACGGCCAGGGCCCGCAAGGGCGGCGTGCTGCGGGACGGTGTAGGCGGATAGCTGTGCGTCCTGCAGGCACCGCCCCTAGGTCTGTGTTGCGCTTGCCGTAGAGGACAAATAAAAAAATAAGTCTATTGTTTGTTTCATCACTTGCAGCACGTCACTCGATTCTGATCAAGTTACGGTCATCCCAAAACGGACAAGGCTATAGCGAGTCTTGTGTGATTGGACATGTTCAAAAAAAAAGAGGCTGTGGAGGCATGGAAGCCTGTCATTCACAGAATGGGTCCTCGGGGAGGGCCTGTGAATTCGGCATTTCTTTGCATCCATGGAGGCACCTTGATCATTCTGTGGGGGTGTCTAAGCCAGGCGAAGCTTCTTGCAGTATATGGAAGCTTTTCCAGAATGTCTGATCGACCGCCCCGAAGGTAGAAGAATTGGAGAAATAAATGGAAAGTGTAATTGGAGAAATTGGAAAAGGCATTGGGAAAGTATGGAAGCCCTGAATTCCTTCCATGGGTTATGAGCTGGTCACGCTGGTCTTTGTGGCACTGTCGAAAACGTAGTAGGCAAATCTTCCAGGGACAGGACTCGATACGAACAATAGCGTAAACGCTGGCAGGCATAGGCAGGCCAACTAAAGCGACCGGGTTGTTTTCTAAAGATAGACGGGAGACTTTGAGAGTGAGGGATTGAGAGGCTGTAGAGAGACTGTAGGAGAGATTGCAGTATCGACAGAATGGAGAGATCCACGATCCCTTTCTTTGATTGTTTTTTATTGACTTTTTGAACTTTTGAACTTTACTGACTTTTGGGCTATGCCTTTTTTTCGTCTAGCGCAGCAATGCTTCCTTCCATTGCACCTACCATAAAGCACAAAGAGGCGTTCAGTTCCACCCAATAGAATCACACCACGGAGCAACTGAAACACTCTCCCGTCGTTGACGAACTCCGTCGGCATCCCTCGGCAGCAAAAACACCCTCAACCCGTGCCCCTGCCGTAGTAAACGCACAAGCAGTCTAAACGCTGCCTGAAGCAGCTCTAAACGATAGTAGCGCCCGACGCCGTCAAAACATAAACGCTGCAAGCGTAGATGGAACAGAATGGCAGCAGCCAATGAAAAAGCCGCTAGCACCACTCTCCCAGGTAATCAGGTGTTAGAAGCGCTGGAGCAACCACACTAGCGCCGTACAGATAAGAAGGTTCGGTGGACGTTCGCTCTAACGTCTTTGTGGGCCGGTTTGGAGAAGGGTGGTTTGGGTTTGTGCTTCTCGTCTACATGCGGGCGGTGCTAAGTGTGCTTTTTTCGAGTCAGGCGGGTCTGGAAACGTCCGGCCGGGTAGTTGCTTTCCAGAAAGCCGTAGAAGGCGCTTTTTTGAGACATTTGCGGGTTCTCCTGGCGGCCTTGGCTGTTTGGAGCCCGAGCAAAGTGGGAAAATTAGGTCTACTCGGGTGGAACGTAGGTTGTGGTTACGGAGGGTAGATAGCACAAAATCGTCACAAAACTGCCGGGAGATAAGGCGGACTTAGGGGGGCGGTTCTTCAATCCGGCGATTATCTAGTGTTTTTTAAGTGCTTTTGTAGATGTCATTTTGTAGACGTCTCTTTGTAAATGCTGTTTGTTTATGCTTCGTCGGTCCTCGGTCCAGGTGTGGCTCGAAGCACTGGTGCACTGGGCAGCCAAGAACCGTAGGCGAGGTTTCGTAAACGGCTCTGTTTGCACAGAAACGTAATTCTTTGTCAAGATGGGCGTTTTGCGCTGGCGTTTGTTGCGACTGGCTTTGTGCTTCAGGGTCTGTCGAGCTGCGTCTGGAGCGTTTGAGCCTTGAGCTACAGCTACGGCGCCGGACGGCTGTCCAGCGATTGGGGGGTTTTGGAATATTTGTCCAGACAATGGCCGCCAGGCTGGCAGCCGGGAGGCTGTTTTGACGAGTAGAGCAAGTGAAGAAACCAGAGGGAGCAAGGGATTGAAGAACTGGATCGAGAGGCAAAACAGCGGTCAAGATTTCCTTAAACTGCCTTACTGCCTTAAAAACTGCTTCAAAAAAATCCCCAATTGAATCCCCAATAGCACCCCGTCAGCCTACCGCCTGACATGGTGGGACATGGTGATCCTCAGATCGTCCGATCACTGGATCCTGGATCACTGGATCACCAACGCACCAGACGCTAGGCGACGGCAACCCCGTTGTGGTAGGGCTAATCGGGAAATAAACGGCCAATCGTTGCAGGTTTGCCTTTTTAGCACCGCAACAGCGTCAATCCTCCCTGAAACTAAACCCAGGCGCTAAAGCAAAAACCAGCCAGATGCAAAAGCAAAAAACCAAAATGCAAATCACGGCCGGGCATTTCGCCCAAACCTCCCCGTGAATTTAGTAAATGTTGCACCGACGAGGCGAAAGGCGTCCCGAAAAGTCCCCGGACGATCTTCCTTGAAAGCCTCCACACATTTCCTAGGGCTCCTCCTTTTCATTTATTCCTCCCTGCTTTTTCCTCTTCTCCAAACCGCTGCTTCTAAATTCAGCATAAGCGATGCCGTAGCGAGACGAAACCCACCGGGCGCCTGCGTCAGGGCTAAAAGACAGCCCACTTTCTTTGTCTGGACCATAATTCCTAGGGTTTCATTCCATTCCGGAGCACCAAGCCGCCGGGGAGAACGATCATTTTTTAAACAAGCAAAGCCAAAAAAAAATCGTCAAAATACTCGAATTTCGGCCCCACGCGGGATGGCGGCTCTGTACTGGTACCCTGGTTAGAAGCGCTTCTGCTGCTTTAGCTCACGATGCTTGTATGCGCTCAGACGGCTATGCTGGTAGGCAATGTAGGTCCCCGGGGGTCGACGGCAGGATTGTTGCTTTCTCAGGCCACCGTTTCTGGAAGGGGTTTTCGAAAACGGCATGCTGGGCTGCAAAAGCGTGGATGTGCTTGACGAGTATAAGGTGGAGGGGGATAGAAGGGATGGTGGATTTTTGAAATTGTGATTTAGCAGAAGTTGTGGCCAGGGGTCCGGGCTCTTAGCGGCTTTTGGCTTGGCTGCCAGGGGTTTGGCCTGCCTTGGCCCTTTTTGGATCTGCCTTTTTTGGATCTGCTTTTTTGGATCTGGGTGGTGATTTAAACATGGGTAGTTGGGCGGCAACATTTGAAGCGATGTGGAGGAGGGGGGCCGTTAAGAAGGGGAGGGCCTTTGAATTTAAAACAAATTTAATTAAATGGATTGTGTTTTGGCCTTTTCGTAGAGGTGGTGGTGGAGTTGGTGTCGCTTTACAGA